AATCAGCTGTTGTGACTATTGTTTACAAAAGCAATGATTTTTACACTTTATGACAACCAAAATATTTAATTTGAAAGTGAGTGTCACACGTATTGACATAAAATCAGATTTTTCTGAAATTTCACTTCAAGGACCTTTATTTATAATTATGCGAAATTCCTTTCAATATTCTTAATTGAAAAATGTAGCAACACACCGACATTTTGCAATACACACACACACATACACTGAATTTCTAATTGGTATTTTTTAGACATTTTAACCATCAGCCTAGATGATTTTGCGCTTAATTCGGCGAAGAATAACTCAAACTGGATTGACTTGCTGCAATGAACGTTTAATAAGGTTATTTACATTGAACTTTCACTACTCAGACCTTTTTTAGAAATGTGTCAATTCATCACTAGATGTCGCCTCCATAGAGTATCCCGTGATAACGACGCATTTCGGTTTCGAATTCGCGTACTAAAAAGCTCATTAATTTATATTTCAAAAAAATGCTTATTAATAAAATCAAAAAGTGATTTTTTTGCGTATCTTTCCCTAATTATCATTATTAGCAGTTGTTGCATTTAAATACTTTTATTCTCTCGGGGTGGAATTATGAATAATTCAGAGCATTGATACATTAGGAATTTTCTTTTTTTCCTAACGAAGTACCTAACAATAATTTTCGAAAAATAAGAGTAATTTAGTCGACTTTATTTCAAGTTAAATAGAAAAGCTATTTATATTTGAAATAAATGTAAAATTTATAAATGAATAATGTGATTTATTAAATCTACATTAAGTGTTTATAAATTTGGAAACATTCTCGGAACATTTTCTCAAATTTGATCGTTGATCGCAAATTTTTAAAATGCGATCTTTACAATTAAGAAATGAAAGATTTATAATTCCAAAAAATGTTCAAATTTGTCTTGTAATGCAAACCAAATTTTTTTTCCTATCCCCATAAATGACATTTTATGAATTTTCTCAAACCATTAAATGGCATTTTTGTCGTTCTATTCAGTAAAATACCAATTTAATTGAAACACGTTTTATAAAATTAAGTAATTTAGGTATCTTATACGTTAAAAAAATTTAAAGGGAAAAAAAATCTGTATAAATCATGTGCTGAACAAGTATTAATGAACCAATTTACAGAAGAAATCCTTTCGCGTTTTGAATTCGATAATTAGTAAGTGACAGATAATTGCTTATCTCTCAAAAATCGTAACAATAGAAATCAATCCTTTAACCGATTACAATTCTTTATTTTAGTTCGCATCATTCAGTTAAAAGTGAAACCACGATGAACAAATATTAACAAAAAGAATTATTAAAAACCTTTGTTTATATTGTAAAATCGTTTTTTGTAATAATCAAAATATAAAAATAGCCTCGAAATGTGAATACTGTTAGTAATGCTACAAATGCTTGTAAGTATAACGTGGGGTGATATAATTACTGTGGTATGTGCCAACCGCTGGAAGAATTCGAATCAACCAGCCGACGCTGGGATCGAACCTAGGTCACCTCTATCGCCTGAGCCACCGTGACTCTACGTTTTATATTACTTGAGGAGGATCTCTCCCTAAACGTAAGCTAACTAACTTTATTTATACTTTCATAATCTATAACAAGACGCGCATGTATCGCTTTCAATACATAAATATTCCAAGAGCAGACTGAATGGAGGGGGGGAGGTGCATCCAATATTTTATTATCGGTTGCACGTGGAGTGGAAAAAACGGTGTCAGTAGCCTCTTTTTCAGAATGTCACTTATCGCCTATTTATCACAAAAGCTTTCACCACTTGCCATTTCTTGAAAATTAACCTTGAATGTTTTTTTTTTTTCTTTCCCCTCCTTTCTTTCAAATCTATATTGACTCATGAGATATTTATTTCAAATAATTCAAAACGAATCTGGCATTAGATCGCTTTAAAAATGACGTAACAAAAATGGACTAAAAAATCGTTTTATAATGCGTGAAAATCGTTTGTTTGGAGAATTATTGATAAAAAAAAAAATGGCGGAAACGGAATGCGTTTAATATTCGAGTTTCTAATGTATTCGATAACGACTCATTATTGAAAGTGTTAATCTATTTAAATTATTTCCCGAGTTAAAATTTTTTGTTTTCTAAACCACACAACTATACTTTTGGAAAAATTAACTCATTCACATCATGGCGGAGGAGATAGGAAAAAAAAAAAAACTTTTTCAAAACTGTTGTGTTGACATTAATGAACGCATTAATTTTTCTATTCAAAGAGTTTAGAAAGTGTGTGTTATGTGTTCTATTTATATTAGGAGCCGGATTCAAAAAAGAGAGAAGCGAGAACGATAATTGAAGAATAGAGAGGTGAATAGAGAGCAAATGAAATTTTATTTCTATAAAAGCGCTCGCCTCTCCTTTTGTGGAGAAAGTTCTATAGCAAGCGATGCGTTAAAGATAAAATCTTCGATTTCGGCGTCATCCATCCCGCGAAGGAACATATTCAAACATCGTGTTCGATAAATTCTCTTGGGGTCTCCATTATAACGACACCGTTCCTTTTCAAACAAGGACCGAGTTGAGATGTCGGGCGCGAAAATCTCTCAATCGTCGTGTGTTTAGTCGGCTTTTGAACAGAGGCAGGCGCGCATGAACATCGTTGAGTCAATATTAGCTTCCAACTGATCAAAAGCCCTCCCGCTTTACCCATTCTATTAAAGAGACCCTTTTGTGAGGAGACAGTGTTGATACAACTAGCACTTGCCTCCTCCGTCCTGACCCCCGCCCACTTTTATTCAAGATTTTAGTGCTCGATTTCATTGAATTCTGCCTTTGTTCAAAAAGAGCCTCAACCCCCCCCCCCCCCNCACACAACCAAAAAAAAAAATAATTACAACCCATTTGAATATTCCTTATGAAATGAAATCTTAATAAATACATTTATTTCCCTTACACCCCTTAAAAGGAATTAAATCATGCATATCACTTGTCATCAATAAAAGATTTAAATACTAAACATACCAACACTTAATACAGTCAAACCGCGATGGGGATAGAGCGTTCGCCTTCCAATGAGGCGAACCGGGTTCGTATTCCAGTCCGCTTGCACCGACCACTGTGCTGACGTGAAATATCCTCAGCGGTGGACGGATCAAAGGTTAGAGTCCCCTTGCCGTCAGGCTAACCGTGGAAGGTTCACGTGGTCTTCCTCTCCACGTAACGCAAATACGAGCTAGCTCCATCAAAAAGTCCAGAGGCAAATTTTTTTCCCAATACTCGATCCCGGAGCTCCCTTGTCTTCTGAATTGGGTTCAAAATGACAAAGGCTGCGGAGTTGACCCGTAAAATTGTGTCGGCTGTTCAACGACTATTATAAAAAAAAGAAGGAACCGCTCTAGAGAGCCTACTGCAAACAATTTTGACGGCTCTCTTTTGTGAGGTATTATTTAATAAAAAAAGAAACGATAGGAAGTCACAAAATATGTGTTCACTTTTATCATTCTTCGTCTTTCGTTCAAAAAATTTAGGGATAGGATCGAAGAAGCAAACAAGAAAAAAAAATGCTTATGGCAACATTCCACTCCTCAATAGATGGTTTTAAAAATCGGTATAGGTAGAAATTTCAAAATGAACAAAAAAATGAAGAAAATAAATCAGTCTGTTAAGACAGAAAAAAGTTCATAAAATGCAATCTTCTTTTCGTTCACTCTTTCCTGGAGTTCATTATAAAGAATGTTCACTATAGCGGGGTTTGACTGTATATACCTGTTTCTACCATAGCCGGTCATATGATCGGAGTTTATCAGTAAACAAAATTTAATATTGCCAATTTTTACAAATTACAAACACAAAGAATAAGAATTTTTATTTTATCGCTCAACGCCTTTTTTACATATACAGGGTGTTTCCGATGTACATTTTCCGCAGACATATTTCTTCTAATTATTATTACTTCTATAATTATTCTTATAATTATAAGAATGTGAAAGAATTATAATTATAAGAATATATAAGAATTATAATTCCTATAATTATTCTTATAATTAATATTATTCTTCCAAGAACGTGCTGCCGCGATAGTTTCGGCACTTTTCTGGGTAAAAACTAACAGTTAGTTAGAAATGAAGTAAAATAAAATATAAGCTACTTACCAAAACGGTTAGTTTTGGTCACTTTTCCTGACACAAAAGTGCCAATTTAAAATTTCGGGTACTCTCTTGACATTTGAATTCACAGTTATTCTGATTGAACTAGCAACAGTCTTTGCAGAAATGTGCAAGTCATCGAATGCAATACGTTGAACACGCGTAACATCGTCATGTCTGATCCGATAAAGCAGTGTTTCCCAAACTTATGACTTTTGTGTACCCTTTCTAAATTTTTCGTAACGCTGTGTACCACTAATAAAATAATGAATGTATTTCTTTAAAAATATGCTTGCTTTTCTTTTTTAGCACAAAGTTTTCGGTAAAAAAAAATTCTTAAATTTTGGTAAAAAATTCTATGTTAAGGATAAAAATTATATTTTATTAAAATAATCAAAATAAATAGAATTTATTACAAACCTTCACTACAAAACAATTACACAAAACTTAGAAAGCACAACTGACTGTAGATATTAACTGTTAACTCTGCAAAAAATAGCAAAAGAAAAATACGTAATCGTAAATTTTAATGGCTGGCTTTGTTTTTAAATTAAATTTTTTCAAATTTTCGTCAGTTGCAAGATATTTCGTATAAGAACACGTACCCCCGCTGAACTGTTCCCGTACCCCTGGGGGTACGTGTACCACACTTTGAGAAACACTGCGATAAAGCAATAAATTGTTCTCCCGGTCAAACAACCGGTAGTGGTGAAAACAGGTATACGACAAGTATTATTCGAAACGAACAAAATACCAACAAAAAAAAAAGAAGAAGAAAAAACAATAGAACTGTATATGATTGTTAGAAAAAGTGGTGAAGTCAAATGTGCAAAAACGATAAGATGATAAGCGCATTTTCGATGCAAAAGTTCTTGAACGGTGATTCGACCGGTTATGGTATGATTAGTGTAACTACATGACTATGGTATGTTTAGTGTTACTACCATTTACTACACGAGGAGTCTTTGACCGGCGGGGATTGCACCCACGAAATCTTGGACGTAGGGCACTTTACTTGAAAAAAGTGTGAAGGCATTTTGTAAATAAACGAAATTTAAATTTGTGCAACAATGATCAACATGAGGAAATTTAAATTTGTGCAACAATCCCCAAACATTTTTGTGTCTAGGGTCCAAAATTTTTTTATTCTGCCCTTGGAATCTTTTTCCTGGCACATTTAAATTATCAAGCACCATAATACTGTTTAGTCCATTGCTTGTTTTTCCTTATTGCTTATTGCCTTCTTTTAATGAGCATTATTATTAGGAATATTGGGCAGAAATAAATTCTTTCGGATAAAGGGGGGGGGAGGCTTCATATCGAAGACCACACCCCCTTCATTCCGGAATTCATCGCACGAATCTCTTTCATCTCCTCCACTAAACTCCTCCCCGTGACGTCAAGATAAGCTCCACCCTTTTCCTCTTAAAGGTTCTCCCCTCCCTTCCCCAATCAATCTTCAGGTGAGTTGAAGATGAAGAGCACCCAACTCTTATCAATATTTTTTTTTTATTTTTATGGATGAGGCCTTTCCATTTTGTGATAGTAGCGCCACTCACGGACAATATATTTGCGGAAAAAAATTTTCATTTTCTCTCCCACTAAATCCTCTCTCTGTTCTGCCAGGCCATGCCAGCAGTTCTACACGGATCAAAACAAAAGGTAAAAGGGGAAAAAAATATATATATAAGATATTATCCCGTTATTTTAATGGCACATGACTTTTTTTTTTACTTCGATGAAACATTATTTCTAGCTAGTTTTATAATAGTATTTTGTGTTATCGTCTGCACCGTTTTGTATCTTCCTCTTTTTAATGACTTATTTTAACAATAAAAGAATGAATAACGATATGATAATATTTTTCAGCCGATAATGGGTGATTCTGTCGTCTGGAGTGATATCAGAGAGGAAGAAATAGATCGCTTGGCCGTTTACAGGGTTCAAGATTTGCCCGTCGACTCAAACGATCCCCGGAAGAATGCCGAAGCAACACTGCCCAGGAATTTAGAACTTCGAACGAATTCCGAAACTAATGTAAGTATTGTATTTTTATTATTATTATTTTGAACACAGTCGGACTTCTATTGAACGAACTTCCATTTAGCGATTTTTTTTTTCGAGGAACCGAGAACATTTTGGAAATTTCTTCGTGAAATAACTTCCAAATAACGAAGTGAATTTTCTATTGAACGAACTCTTCTTAATTTAAGAACAAAAAAGAGTGGGAAACATTCAAATAATCTGAACTTAGAGACTAAAAAATCGTTTTACGCTTGGGGAAATGAAGGAGAATATGCGACTCACCTCTTTTATTTGAATAAATAGGAGACATTTCGATTACAAGAAAGAAAGTATGTAAAAAGGCAACCTTTTATTTTTAATTGATTGTAACTGCTGGAAATTGTTTGGAAAAATTATTTTTCTATTGTAATGTTGCATTTTACCATATTTTAGAAGTGAATTTTTTTTTTTTTTNATTTTTAGAAAATTTTTTTTTTTTTTTTTTGGAAATAATTATTTTTGCAATGTTTTTTTTTTCTTCTTCTTTTTTTGTCATATATGAGTTTTCCTTTAAAAATTTTATTCTTAAATTTTGTTCTTAAATTTCTTAAAAATGGGAGTGGAGTGAAGCGGTCATACTGGAATAATAAGATTTCAAAAAATGAATAATTAAAAATAATTACTATTAAAATATAATTATAAAATATAAATTGTCTTAAAATATTTATTTCGTTGCCGTCAGGCAAAATTTCCGACGTTTACGTGATTTTCATCTCCATGCAACACAAATGCGGGTTATTACCATGAAAAGGTCCTCCACGAAGGCTAGTTTGTTCCAATGCTTGTCACAGGAGTTTCCTCGTCTTCTGGGTTGGGTTCAATATTCCAAGTTGACAGAGGTTATGAAATAAACTGCAGTCTGACTTCCATTGAATGAACTTCCATTTTGCGATTTTTTTTTTTCGAGGAACCAAGAACATTTTGAAAATTTCTTCGAAAAATGACTTCCAAATAACGAAGTGCATTTTCTATTGAACGAACTTTTCTTTGTGATCCTCTTTCCCTATTTTCCAAAATATTTCAGTACATTTCAAACGCATTTTATAAAGGAAATGACCTTGATTTTCAAAGCCACTTCACTTTTAGAAAACTCTTTCCCTTTTTGTTTGCATTTCAAACGAAAAACTCAGACAAAATAAACGGATTTTAACGGTAGCCATTAAATTTAAGAAAGAATGTGGTAATGCATGTTAAAAATTACNATATATTGTGATTACAGACAGACAGACACACACACAGCCGCATTTATTATTATGTATAGATGTATAGATGTATAGATGTAGCAGTCATTTTATACATAAATTTAGCTTCTTTTTTTTTTTAGTTTAAAATGTGTGTAGCGTGATAGTGTAGCACTGTATAATGTTTTGCACTATTTTTGCTTTCCATGCAGATTTCTTTTGTGGCTAAGATTTATTAAATAAATATTAGATACTAGTTTACAGGATAAAGGTGCATCCACGTTATAACTACGGTTATTAAAAATTTAAAAAAAAGAAAACAGAATAAGTCTAGTTTAAATCATTTGCTCTAATTATTATGATACACTAATATAATACCTGATATAATAGATATTCTATACTTATATCATATGTGGTATGATATATCCAATAGTCGAATTTATATTATAAATCGTCTCATTTAAGACACGAACATACTCAAGTGCAAACCGGTTTCAACCGCGTAAAAACAATAGAGATGCATAATATCGCTTGATAATTAAGATATTATATGGGATCCTATAGTGTGTCTAATAATCTGGAAAGGGACTGTAAATTTTTAACAACTGTAACGGGTACTGTAAAAGAAAGAAAAGGTGAGAAGCGCGTGTGGTCAAGGCCAAGGTCATTTCCACTTGATCAGATGATTCTTCCTCCACTTGATAGATTTCCAAATGATATAATTTTAGCTCCCGTTATGACATCAATACAAAAAAAAAGCCTTTTTTTCAAAACTTGGAAGATTGAAACATGTTATCGGTTCTGCTTTTTATCTTGACCTTCATTCTCTCACTTTAGTCCCAAGTGTTATCCTCCCCTTATCTCTCCCAAATATTTCTCAATTATTGAAAATCGAGACTACTTATCATCTAACCTTGATTTCTCTGCTTTCACATGATAACATTAGGTCGATGACTTCTAAGCGACAATAATTTTCTGTCATGGACTTTTATATCTTTTGCCCTTCAAAATAATTTCTTTTTTTTTTCTTATCGTCTGAAAAATAAATAAATAAATAAAATTGAACTCGATCCAGAATCGATAGACAAAACTCGAGAAATATGGGTTATTAAGCTAAATTTTCTTTGTTGCATAGAAAAAGAAAATAGAGATTAATGTTCGAGATACAAAAATGTTTTCTCTTGTCATTCAGAAAATGCCCAGAAATATNTAACTAGGTATTCTATAAATTAACTAATGAGAGACAATTAAAGTGTAAAATAAGCAATTTATCTAAAATGAAATAACTAGGTATTCTATAAATAAACTAATGATGGACAATTAAAATGAAAAAGAAGCAATTTATCTAATTTATGCGGCGTATAAATGGTATTTATGGAAACGTACCATAAAATAATTTGTTACGACAAGGATTACTAAAATGACACTTGGAATTACAAAGAACATTATTTCTAAAAAAAAAAGACATTTTTTGCTGACACACCGGGTTTTTCACGAACATTTTTTAAATCCCTGACCAGTACCTAAACTTTAAGCTGCAGCAACCGACCGGAGCGATATTTCTACATCCGCTACTTCTTCGATTTTAATTCATTTTTGTTCGCAGACACTGAACTGGAATCGGGAATATAATCGTTTCTTGAGCCCAATTGGAAAAATCCTTCTTCGGTTATTTTTATGATGATAGCTAAAATAGATAAATGCAGTAGGGGTGGAAGGTAAATGTATTTGTCATGCGACATATATGATATAGATTATTTTACACTTTAACGGGCTGCAGATCGCTATTCTATGAAATAACTAGTTAAACCATGAAATACAAGAGAGTTTTAAGTGACACGATCAGTTATTTCATGGAATAACTAGGTATTCTATAAAATAACGGATTTCATACTTTAACGGTAACATATATATAGTTCCTGGCCATATTATTAGATGCACTATAAGATTCTATGTAAAATCTTAATGATCACGTGATACTCTCTACAGCTTTGTTGTTTTTACGCGACGTAATGACGTCAGATTTTTCATGTACTTCCCATTTCTATTTATTTTTAACGGATTGCATTACTAATGTTAACGAATTGATACACGAAGGTAAACAAAATTTTAAATGTGTTTACATTTTAGGAGATAATAACAATTAAAAAAAAAGGTATTTGGTGGGATAAAATATGTTTCTGTCTGTTGAATCAAAAACAAGCCATTCATTTAAAGTTAACTTGTATTTTTTAGGTGAATGGTGTCTGGGCCACAGATTATATTCCGAAAGGGACAAGGTTCGGACCCCTCTTGGGTGAACATTATCATGTATCCGAAGTGAATCACGTCTCAAGTAAAAAGTTCTTCTGGAGGGTAAGTTGCTTTTCATTATTAGGAAAATAATTAAATCACTAAAGGTTATGAGGATCATGAATAAATTAAGGAATAAAATTTAATTACTTTTAGGAATGAAATTTAATTCATTTTATGAATAAAATTTTATTATTAGGACTTGGAAAAGAAATTTGTTTGTTAAAACAAACAAAATTTGTTTCTAAGACAAATCCTCTACCGTTTTCTTCTTCTTTTTTTTCGATAGACCATTTTTATGTCACTGTTACAGTGAGCATAACTTAGAAAACAGATTGCATCACGCTGTATCGAAATACCGCACACTCTGAAAATACAATGTTATTCTTAGGTATACTTGTTGTTATTCTTAGGTATACTTCAGAGTTGTCTACACAGCAGCGAATGGTTAACACTCAAAAGAGAAGTGGAAGAAAAAAAAAATAATAATTTCGAGTTTAAAGTAGAAAGAATTGAAGAGAAATTTGCAGACTGGGTCGATTATCTGTAGAACAGATTTTAATGAAATTTGATGAATGCACATTGATACAACACAAAACACATTTGGAAACAGGAGATGAAATGAAACGAAGAAGAAGCATATTATTAAAATGGAAGATTCGACAACCCCAGGGGAAGTGCTCAAAATCGTGGCCGACAACGACGAAGTGGTTGCACCGCCGTAGAAGGGTGAAAACACCGGGCATCTCTCTTATGGTTTCAGCACATAATCGGGCTTCGGCAGAATCATCCAAATTTTCAACATTTGTTTCATAAGGAAATCAAATAGTTTAGAACACAATTTATTAAAACATGTTTCTTTAAAAAAAAAAAAAAAAAGTACTCTTCATTGAAACCAAGTAGTGATGAAATTGATATTTCGAATGAAAGGGATTTCATCGGTAATAGGATATAGTGAGTAGCGTTTTAAAAAAGTGCATAAAGGTGGTTATTTTAATAAAAAGTAACTAAAATAAAAAATTTCTTGGTTTAAAATATTTTTTGTTTTATTTATATTACTTGTTTTCATTGTATTGTCAAAAAAGAGATTATTAAAAAAGAAATGTTTTCCTTTCAGATTTATAAGAATGATAGTGATGAATACCATTACGTTGATTGTTTCGATGTCTCCAAATCCAATTGGATGCGCTACGTGAGACCGGCACTCCGTATAGACGATCAAAACTTGGTGGCATGTCAAGTACAAAATGAAATCTACTTCTACACCATTAAAAGAATTATGCCCAACCAGGAACTCTTAGTCTGGTATGGTCATCAATACGCAAAAAGAATACAGGCTGCTGTTGACACCAGAAATGGAATACGTAAGTTATAACCTTTTTCTTTCATTTATTGATTCTTTTTCGCTATATTGTTTTTGGCAACAAAAAATAATTAGAAAAGTCCGGATGTTGATCTGAAACATAATTTCATATTAAATACAGTCGGACCCCTATTGAACCAAGTCTCTAAATCTCGGTAATAAGTTCATTATACAGAAAGTTCGTTTAACAGACAATTCCCTTTTGAAGTACTTAAACAACATAAAACAGGTTTTAAATTCATAAACACTAGCCATCATTAAACTAGCAATGAATGCACCTTTATCTTGTAAAGTCAATTCACGTCATCTTGTCATCTTGTAAATCATCTTGTCATCTTGTAGTCACGTCATCTTGTAAAATCAATTCAAGGTCATTTACTCCATAAAATGAGTTTGAAATGTTTGGGAAATAAGGAAAGTGAATCTCGAAAAAAAGTTCATTAAATGGAAAATTTACTTCCCTGTATGGAAGTTATTTCACGAAGAAATTTCCAAAATGTGCGTGGTTCCTCGAAAGAAAAAAAATCGCAAAATAGAGAAATTCGCAAAATGAAAGTTCGTTAAATAGAAGTTCGACTGTATGTGCACGTATATTAAGATGAAATGGAGATGTTATTAATGTTTGTTTTAAGTTGAAATGAAGTAGAAGTGTGTATACCATTGTCTTGTACACCATTAAAGATTGGGCAAATTGTTGAGGATTTTACTTCATAGAGTTCACCATCAACCATGTGTGAAAGTGAAAAAAATAGTTAAAGTGAGAGAAAGCAGTGATCGAGTACTTCTAAAAGCATCCCAGAAAAAGGCTGTAAAACGGGAAGAAATTTCCCCAAAATCTCAAATTTTTTTAAAAAAAACTACAAATGTCACTAACATCCGAGCATTTAATTATCAGCCAAGCCCTACTCTATGAAATCCCAAAACTGCGTTTTTTTTAAAGGTCTTTTGGCCGAAAGGTTTTTCAAAAGATCCTCACATCTGAAACTACACAGTTAAAAATTCCGCGTTTTAACAAAAATTGGTATTCATTTGCTGGCTACGTAAAATGGAAGTCAATTTTATCATATTTTGGTTCATTCATCAGTAGAAGTAGGTGTTTTGAGAAATACCTATTTTCATTTATTCTTTTATAAAAGCAGAGGATGATTGCACCGCATTTTTAAGGGGCTCAAATAAAGGAATAAGAATCTGAAATGTAGGTTATTTTATTCAAACCCTTTAATACCTAAATTTAAAAAGGCAACATAAAAGAGTTTAATCAATGCATTTACCTACCTAAATAAGTTGATAACAACATGCATGAGTCGTCATAAAGAAAACAAAGTTTTGTGTCCAAATTTTAGTGTAAATATTTCTCTCTTCTCAATTAAAATGATCTTAACTTTGGAATAATGAGGAACTTTGCTCAAAATAATGGTTGTTAAAGATTTACAGAGTCTCTTTTACAGTTCGCTATTTTCAATCTACTTTATTTTAACAATTAAATTCTTATTATTTTAATTTCGTAATTTTTAAAAAAAATTCAAGTAAGCTTTTAAACTTGATCTGTAATTTAAGTCAATAATATATGTTTAAGAGTGTTGTTTTAATAAACGTTTCTCTCCTGCTCTCTCCAGGTATTCAACTGAGCCCACCGTCTGAGCCATTTGGAATACAAGAATACTGCGATCCGATGACACCCCCGGAGGACAGCAGCGAGGACAGCGAGGCTCTCGATTACAGTGTCAAAAAACCCTCCGAGGACGAAAAGACATACACTCGGAACGAATATTACAAACTGAAATTCAAGTACGCCCTCTCGAACCATTCCAAAAACGTCGAATCGCACAGTAAGGAGAGTGAAACGGAGGACGAGAAACCGACCACCAGAGACGAAGCCGACAGCTCTTCCAGCGACCACTACTCTGCCCCTCAACCTAACAGCCCCAAGTGTGCCAGCACACCTTCGGAAGACAAGAAATTGTTCTACGAATCCGCTTTCGTGTCGTACGAGGGACAAAAGAACAATTCCGAGTACATGGCGTCCGAGCCACCGACGATGCTCGAAAATCTCCTGAGCCACCGAGAAAACGCGTCCTTGAAAAGGGACGCCATCTCTTCGGTTCAGATACTGCGGAAGTTCCACCTCAACGAATCGCTTCCGCTGAGTCTCAACCCCGGAACATTCTGCCAGGAGCGAAACAGCCCGGACTCCACTGAGGAGAGTCACCATCAGGAAAACTTGATCTACGGCAACAACATGTTCTCTGCCGCTCAGTTTAATATGCTCACATATCATTTCTCGGAGAGGATGCACAGTGCTTTCCCGGCGAGGCAGTTCGTGATGCCCCATCACCCGACGGCCCGACATCACCTGGACTCCCAAACTGAGCTGCCCTTCCTACACTCGCGGCCCACTTCTCCTTCTCTCCTTCACGGCAGGGGATACAAATCCCTGCCCTACCCCCTGAAGAAGAAAGACGGCAAGATGCACTACGAATGCAACGTCTGCCGCAAGTCGTTCGGACAGTTGTCCAACCTCAAAGTCCACCTCCGCACTCACTCGGGTGAGCGACCCTTCAAGTGTTCCGTCTGCGACAAAAGCTTCACCCAACTGGCCCACCTGCAGAAGCACCACCTCGTTCACACGGGTGAGAAGCCCCACAAGTGTGAAGTCTGTCACAAGAAATTCAGCAGCACCAGCAACCTCAAGACACACCTCCGACTCCACAATGGACAGAAACCGTACGCCTGTGATCTGTGTCCGGCGAAATTCACGCAATTCGTCCACCTCAAACTCCACAAACGATTGCACACGAACGAGCGACCCTACACATGCCAGACATGCAGCAAGAAGTACATCAGCGCTTCGGGTCTGCGGACGCACTGGAAGACGACCTCGTGCCAACCTAATGCCGTCTACCTGGACGGTGGACATCAGTACGATTACCCCAGCGACTCTAGGTCACCTCCTCCCAGCGGATACCCCATAAGTGTTCCCGCTTTTCACCCGGACAGAAATATATACAGATCTTACACAGATATTTTATCTTCCCCCCCACTCTCTGTCGAATCCCAGAGGACCAACGAATCAGTGTATTCCATGAGTGCACCCAGTTCACCAGACGATAGACCTTTTCACTGTAGACCCTCTGTTTAGGTCACATTATTTGCTCTAGATGCAGGACATCCTTAGCATTTCTGTGACATGTGATCAGTGGCGTAGTTTTACCTTCTCACATACATAAGTTAAAATAATGACAAGAGAAGAAAAATTATAAAAATTATTTTTCAAAAGTATTTAAAAAAAATATTTTTTTATTTATCTAAAAAATTTTTTGTTATAAATCCGGAAAACTAAATAAATAAAAGATACAATCTCTTCATCATCTCACACGATTATAACCGCAAAAAGGAGTGTTTTCTAATACTGTACCAATAAAGCCAAAGCAAAATACATCAATACTATAGGAAAGATTTTTTCAATAATTAAACTAATTGAACATTTAAGAGTCAAATAAGCTAACAAATAGATCATATTTACATTTTTTTTAAATTATTGATTTTTTTTTTGTTACTTTAAAATTGAAGATTTAATACGATAAGCTGCTATATACGGCCGTACAAGTTTGCAGCTATATATATATATATAAGAAACATTACAGATATATATGAACATTTTTTATGTCTTCATCTTACTTACCGAACCGAATAGCTCATTAATCAAGTAATTTATAATTTTCTCGGGGTTTTTTATCCCCCAAAACTACGCCACTGGGTGTGATAAAATCTGAAATGAAATTTCCCTTGTACAGTAAAAAGTGAGAAGCACAAATTTCAATGTTCCATCAATGGTTTCATGATGATGAGTATTGAATATAAAATTTGTATCTGCAAAAAAGAATCACAACTATGTAAATATGTTATATTATTTAATTTATTTTGTGCTGTCCAAATCAAATTAAATGTGTTTTATGTAGATTATTTATAAACTGATCCCTTCACGATATTTCAATTTTACAATTTTTCTTTTTTTCTGTTCTCACTATTTTAGCTCATAGTTTAAATGATATCTTAATTTAACCCGAAAAACTGCAATAGTTTTATATTCACATTTTGATTTTACAATTTTTTTTTTCGTTCTCACTGTTTTAGCTCACAGTTTAAATGATATCTTAATTGAACCCAAAAAACGGCAATATTTTTTTCTTTAATTATTGCAAGTGCATTTGAACACGAAACCCATATAATGTTTGTTTTTTTTTTTAAATAATCTGATAGATTAAAATCTTTAAACACATCGTTAACAGTTAAAATAAATTTGTTTATAAACGATCCATTTCTTTTAAAATCAAATCTGTTTTCTTGTTTCTGTCATTTGTCGTCTTCTTAGTGATTTAGAATTATAGATGCATGATGTGCTTCAATGCGCCATTTTAACCTTTAAAAAAAAATATGCTTCTCTAGTCACATTTATGAGTCAAATAAATATAAGAAGCATTTACTTCTCTTTTAAAGTAGTTACACTTAGCAAAATGATGCAATTTTAATTTATTATTTTATATGTGATTACTCGAAAACTAGGCAATAACAATTTATGATATTTTTTTTGAATAATTATTAGTTAAAAACTAGGCTGTAATTTATATTTAAGAAGAAAAAACTCTTAAAATTTACAATATTATCTTTTGTAATGAGTAGTTTTTATGGAATCATTTTCTTTTTCATGAAATCACAAAATGTAAAGAAAGTTTTGTCGAACAAAATCTCTTCACAGATCCATTAATAAAACAATATCATATGATTCATTTGTGGTCTTATTTATTTAAACAGTCATCCAATGACACTGCAGAGACTCTATTCTATGGTGGTGTCAACATTACACTTCCCACATGGGTGACAAAAACTCCCACTTCGATTTGAACTTCGACGGAGGGTCCCCATCGCTACTTGTGACTGCGACATCATCCACCTCCTCACGCTGGAGTTACTCAGTCTCGATAACACTCGACGGCTAAAGGCAACAGAAGAGCGAACTTAATACAGCTCTCATGAGCAGCCCAAAGTAAGGTGATCCTAATACAGCTCTCCCGGCTTTTCACAAAACAGCAATGATTCCACTTGAGGTATCCGTTCATCGAATTCTATCACAGCTGTAATTCTGGTGTACTGTAGTGTGTCTACCACAATAAATATGCAATTCCAATTCACTAGTATATGAAGACATGTTAACTCGGTTCTATGTTAAGGGTACCTTCTCATAGATGACATGACACATACTAATTCTCCTGAGGCTCTCCGAATAAGGCGGGGAACCAGAAAAACTGAATTTATAGTTTGTCTAAATCAGAGGTCGCCAAAGTGGTCTATATAGACCCCCAGGGGTCTATTTAACAAAAGCGGGGGTCGATCTGAGACAGGGGGGCGAATGGGGGTCGATCCGAATCGGAAGGGTCGATTGTGGGTCGAAAAAAAAAAACAGTTTTCAATACGCCAATCACACATACCTAATTCACAATTAATTAAAAAAATTCACAAATTTTGCATACTTAGTATGCAAAATTTGTGAATTTTTTTTTAATTGACTTAATATCAGTTTCTTTATAAAACATAAATTAATAAACGTATATTTATTGGGGTGAAACAAGTATTTACGTACCACCGCGCAGTGGCACGAACTCAGCGCAGTCATGCATATGTGCGCTTGTCCAAATGTCACGTGTGGCGAGCATCGACGTTATAAATGCAAATATCACACGCAGTTTCAGCTATCTTTGCAAACTTTGTTGAATATTTGCAGTGTCATTATTAAAACTTTTATAGATTTGGATAATTAGTTATTGTTTCGATAAAACAATTCGTTTGGTTTAGATATCAATTTTAATTATCAATGCACAAAAAAGAAGGTAAGCATTATGGATAAGTACAGCCCGCGACAAAACTATAGCACACTTTGTATTTTTTTACGAAAATTACAAAATTGACCAATTTTGACGAAAATTAAAATTGACCAATTTTGAACCCAATATAGCGAACCTTGCAAAAAAAACACCAGGCACACCCATCTCATTGATCAAGAAGCAGTAAATCTTTAGTTACTTTACTTATTATATCTACTTATGCATGATTACTTATTATTTAATAATAAGGTATTTAAATTTCAATATTAATATTTTTTCATAAAACTATTGTTACACAATGTACTATTACTTTAATAAATGTTTGAAATCATAAACTAAATGTACAAACACAGTATCTAATAGAGTTTTATTTTAATTAGCAGAAAATTACTTTTGTGGGGGTCGATGGAGATTTCGAAAAATTATATAGGGGTCGATGATCAAAAAAGTTTGGCGACCCCTGGTCTAAATTAAGTACTGCCCTAGCCATTCCTCTGAACCGGTGATTATGGTAACGAGGTATAACTATTTCAAATGGGGGGAGTCATTTTTAAGGAGTCGTTAAGAGAAAAGGTTATCTTTTTCTTCGGTCTATCGTGTTAGAGGGAAGAGAAGCTGCCCTCCCTCAAATGAGCTATTCTTGTTTCCATACCAGCAGACGGCCTCGGACGTTGCNGGGAGTTCTTACCACAGACAAACTATACATCATTCGCAGCAAAGTGTCTCCTCAGATAGGTACGCTTATCAATAGTGCGAAAGGGATCAATGAAAAGAGAATTGACAGGAGGAGGTTCCTTCGATGGCAAAAGAATTTTAAGCCATGTCTGCAACAACTGTTCTCAATACGAATCGGAAGCAGAGTTCGGCCAATTATGATGGTTTCCGAAACTGGGCTACCTCACAGGGAGGTGAGTAACTCTATCCCCTGAGCCACCGTGACTCAGCTTTAGAACATTAAAAACTCATTCACGTTCTTCATTAAAGTTAGTTTTTATTTTATAACCGTCGTTGAATAGCCGACCCAAATCTGGTTTGACGACTACTCCGTAGCCTTGTCATTTTGAACCCAATCCAGAAGACAAGGAAACTCCTCCATCTGTACCTTCAGAGCTATTGATTTGTTATGGGAATAGGGAGGACTTTGCCGCTCGACAGATTTAACGAGCATCAGTCACCATCTACTACACGGGGAGTCTTCGGCTCGCGGGGATCGTACAATAAAGCTGGTTCTCGAAATATGACGTACCTGGTCAAAAATTGCCCATTGAGCTTAAAAGGAAGAAAAACAATAAAATTTTGGTCTTATAGAATGTCGCAATCCTTATCTTTACTTATCAAAACTTTATTTTCTGCTTGCACACTCGTTTCATTAAAGATAATAATTTCATGCAAAGTATAAAGTAAGTAGTTTTAAATGACTGAATTTGATCCAGTAGTTTCGATGCAATAATAATAAACATATTTCCAAGATTTAATTTTTAGGAAAAATTCAAGTTGGGGTTATTCACAAGATTTTCTAGAATCTTGAGAAAATACAACGATTTTTAAAGTGGCAATATTCATTGCGAATCGATTCAATCCATTATTTTATGTTCTCCCGTTTTCCACGAATTATTAAGACATAAATATACTTTCAGAGAAAGGACCTTTGCATCGAAAATCAAATATCATTCCGAATCTTCGGGGGGGGGGGATATTTCCGCCAAAATGTACAACCACAAAGGAATTGTGAATACATATTGATAACCAGTACAGTGCGTAAAAAAAATAATAAATAAATAAAATAAACTGACCACCCTGACGAACTTCCCAAGTCAAAATTTTCGATGGTTTTCCACTGATGGACCAACATAATCTTGATGCTAATCATCCATAATTCCTTTATAAACCATTATATTTCTCGATGCTAACCAACATAAATAACCATCACCCCCATGTAGGAATTTTGACTGATTTGTGATGGTCCATAACAACTTGTTTTGATGGTTTACTCAAATTGAACCATCAGAAATTTCGTTCATAGTTTCTTAGAAATCAAATATTGAAGCGATCATGAATCACCTCAATGTAGGAATTCAGGCAGATTGTTTTGATGGTATGTTCCTGTGAACCAACGATAATTATTATTAAACCATCATAGAAATGCATTGCATTACGGACCGTCACGAATTTCCATAGTATCTAAGAAATCAAATGTTAGAACGATCATGAACCATCCCAGTGTAGGAATTCGGACTGATTTATGATGGTTCAACTTAAAAAATATCCAAATTGTTTTGATGGTATATTGCTGAGAACCAATGAGAATTACCATTAAACCATCATGGAAAATGTATAGTTGGGGCCATCATGGGTCAAATTTCTTTTGTTGGTTAATCATCATAGTATTAGTGCAGCATTCTCCATCATGGAATGATGGAAGTTTGTTGGCATATCAAAAACCATGGACACATAATGAAAAATGTTGGACCATCATGAATTGCACTGAAAGCAACATAAACCACAAGGATTTTGTCTTGGGTTATAATCTTGTGATCGGATCTTCACGTTCTAAGACTCCATCTTAACGATTTAAGGGGTTGACGTCAAATATGCTAATTGAGTACAAAAGAAAGTTTAAGTTACGAAATCAGACACAAAAAAAATACTTTGGTTGAATAATCATACCTTTTTTTTTTTTTTTGTTCTCTACAGATTCTGATTTCTGACCCACAAAATATAGGGGGAATGAGAAATCTTGGAATTATGGTCCCTATACTTTGGTTTGGAACCCCTTAATGCTAATTTTATTTTTTGCGTATTTCGCCGTATCTCCAGAACTTTTCAAGCGATTTAAAATCTTTTTACACTCCATTAGAAAAATTCATTTATCCAAAGATAATTCCATGCAAAAAGAAAATGGCTTTTAGTAAATAATTATTCTTTTTATTTATTTATTTTATTTATCTGCTCGCAGTACATAAACAGAGTGTGTGTTTGGTGTGACCGTAAAGTAGCGAGAAACGAAAAGTTTTGAACAACTAGCTTCCGCCAAAGCTGGGAATAAAGAGCTGAGTGCAGCCGAAACAAAATCAATTCACAGACCAACTTTTTTATAACGTGAGCAACTGAAATAGGTATGTAAAAGCTGCAAATTGTTTTTAAAAAATGTTTTTTTTTAATGCAGTTAGCACCTTCCCCCGATTTTAAATACAGACTCGTTTCGATATATCTAGACAAGTGGTTCTTGTTGTTGTTAATTTACGTCGCACTAGAGCTGCACAATGGGCTATTGGCGACGGTCTGGGAAACATCCCTGATGATGAGCTTCTCACGAATCCNGAACCGTGACAAGTGGTTCTTATATACGTAGAGCTGGAGCTGCACGATGGGTTATTGGCGACAGTCTGGGAAGCATCCCTGAGGGTTATCCTGAGATGACATACATACGTCACCCCCCGTGGAGGACACATTCAGATTGAATTTCGACCTGAGCTGGAGCACGATCCATCTCCGATCCACTACCCCTAGAGGTACAGGTATGTTAAGGGAACTTGGAGGACTGCGTGACCCCGACAGGTTTATCGCGCACCAGTCACCATTTTTTACAATGTGACTCTTCAATCGGCGAGGATCGAACTCATGATCTCTTGCACCCAACGCCCTACCAGCCAGACTATCCGATCCCAAACAAGTCACATGTTGTTTTGATGTATCTTCTTTTTTTTTAACGCTGAATTGAATAAAACGTCAACCAAGTCAAAACTAATTGATCTTTTATGGATAAATAGTAAGCAGACAAAATTTTAGAAATATCAAACACCCAAACAGCAATATTTCAGTTACAGGTATTTTTATACCATATTTTATTTTATAACCGTCGTTGAAACAGCCGACCTCATTTTCGGTTTACAACTACCCATGTTCAA